TTTTCAGGTAGAGATTGATTGACCCATGCACTCCTTAATTTCTTCAGCAAATAATTATTGAGTCCTACTTTATTCTCCCTGATGAACAAAAGATGCCACATTTCCTGCTGTCCTGGTGTTTACATTCTGGTGTGTGTGTGTGGAGGGGTGTGAGTAGAGATAGGAGACAGATGACACCCGAAATGAATATGTTATATACAGGTCAGGAAAGATTAAATAATGCTCTGTAGAAAAATAAACCAGTGATGGGGAGTAGGTCATGTCAAGAAGGATGTCGAAAGAAAGAAAAGAAAAGGAAAGAAAGAAAGGAAGAAAGAAAAGGAAAAAAGGGCGCCTGGTGGCTCAGTCGGTTAAGCACTTGACTCTTGATTTTGGCTCAGGTCATGACCTCACCATCATGGCATTGAGCTCTGCATCGGGCTCTGTGCTGGGCATGGAACCTGCTTGAGATTCTCTCTTTCCCTCTGCCCCCTTCCCCGCTTGTACTCTCTGTCTCTCTCTCGCAAAAAAGGAAGAAGGGTGTTGCAGCTTTAAATAGGGCCAAGGGGGCCCCTGTAGGGACTTGGCATTTGCCCTGCATAAGCTGGAGGCCGTTGCAAGATTTTCCCCACCGTTATGTTTTTTTCTTTTGTTTTAAAAAATATGGTTTTTATTTTGAAATAGTTTTAGGTTTATAGAAAAGTTGCAGGAGCAGCTGGGTGGCTCGGTTGGTTGAGTGTCTGACTCTTGACTTCACCTCTGGTCATGATCCCAAGGTCATGAGATTGAGCCCCATGATAGCTCCACACTGAGCATGGAGACTGCTTAAAATTCTCTCCCTCCCTCGGGCTGCCTGGGCAGCTCAGTCGACTGGGCGTCTGACTTTGGCTCAGGTCATGATCTCACAGTTTGTGAGTTCAAGCCCCACATCATGCTCTAAGCTGACAGCCTGGAGTCTGCCTTGGATTTTGTGTCTCCCTCTCTCTCTGCCCATCCCCTGGTTGCACTCTCTCTCTCTCTCTCTCTCTCAAAAATAAGGAAACATTAAAAATAAAAAAAAAATTTTTAAAGATTCTCTCCCTCCCTCCCCACCCCACTGTCTGTCTCTCTCTCCCTCTGCCCCTCTCCCTCACTTGTGCTCTCTCTCTCAAAAATAAGAGACAGAGCACAAGCCAGGGAGGGACAGAGAGAGAGAGGAAGACAGAAACTGAAGCAGGCTCCAGGCTCTGAATTGTCAGCACAGAGCCCAACACAAGGCTCGGACTCACAAACCGTGAGATCATGACCTGAGCCAAAGTCAGACACTTAACCGATTGAGCCACCAAGGTGCCCCTCTAAAATAAAATTTTTAAAAATTAGTTTTAAAAAGTTGTAAAGATAGTAAAGGTAATTCATCTTTTCATCCTAATCATCTAGGTCCTAATAAGAGCACAGAGGTCTTTATAACTTAGCTATGAGGATTTCTAAAAGCAGGCTGACTTACCCAGTTTCAGTTTCTCCTGATGTTATTATCTTACATTACTGTGGTGCTTTTCTTGAAACTGAGAAACCAACATTGGTATACTCCTATTAACTAAACTCCAGACTTCAAAAAGTTTTCACCAGTTTTTCCATTAATGTCCTTTTCCTGTTCCAGAATCCAATCCAGGATACCTCATGGCATTTAGTTCTTAATGCCTCCTTCATGTCCTCTTATCTGTGACAATTTCTCAATATATCCTCGTTTTTAGTGACCTTGACAATTTTGGGGAGTACTGATCAGGTATTTTGTAGACCGTCTCTCAGTGTAGATTTGTCTGGTGTTTCCCTTATGATTAGAGGGAAAGAATACTAAAGAAGTGAAGTGCTCTTTTCCTTACAACCTATCAGGGCCACCCGATACCCAGCTGGGGAAGTGATGCTAGCTTGGTCACTTGGTTCATGTGGATTCGGGTGGGTTTCTCCACTATTACTTAATATTTTCCCCTTTCTATTCCTTATTCTTTGGAAGCTAGTCACTAAGTCCAGCCCACACTCAACTGATGTACATTTGAGAAGCCTTACTCTGGTTGCTTGTTGAGACTAGACTGTAGAAAGACAAGGGCAAAAGCAATATACCAGGTTGAGCTGGTGCACTGGAACCATTGCAGCCACATGAGAAATACCTGGCTTTCATTTCATAATTTCTGAGCTGGGGGATTCTGAGCCAGTTATGTAAGGACGTGAGGATACATAGGAATGTAACAACAGACTACCTGATATCATTTCATTCTTGCCCCACAGGGCTGGGCTTGGGGCTTTATTTCGTTCCCTTTGCATGTTACTTGAAGAAGGTTTTAACTGTAGATGAGAGTTACTCTCCAAATTTCATAATTTATATAAAGTGCAGGGATACAGAAGTTCTTTTTTTTAAAATATAATTTGTTGTTACTGAGAACAAACTGAGGGTTGATGGGGGGTGGGAGGGAGGGGAAAGTGGGTGATGGGCAGTGAGGAGGGCACCTGTTGGGATGAACACTGGGTGTTGTATGGAAACCAATTTGACAATAAATTATACATATAAAAATAATATAATTTATTGTCAAATTGGCTAACATACAGTGTGTAA